CACACACACACACACACACACACACACACACACACACACACACACACACACACACTCATAATGACCAGAGCAGACACGGTGTTGATAACTAAGAAGAGGATGATGTAAAACAGGAATAAAAGCAACTAAAAAGGAATTTTCAGATCAAAACATTTTGTTCCCCTCAAAATAAGAAAGGGGTTGAGTTTACAAAGCTAAGGCCATATCCCATAAAAGATGAAGACTGTGAGAAAAAAGGTCATCAACCCAGGGGTCCAGTTTTGGGTTCTGACACTTGACAGTTATTCCAAAGATGAGAGTGGAGAAGAAATAGGATCAGAGACACAGTAGGAAACACGTGGTGGCTTCCCACTGGACTAGGCTACAAGATGTGCATGGAGGCAAGAATAGCATTTAGGACGTGATATTTGAATAGACATGGAAGTTCTTAAAATATTAGCAAAAAATCCTACTGGGCATTAGAAAGTGTTATCACAGAGTCAAAAAACTGCCAATACACGCTCCTGCTTGTGGACTAAGGAAGAACAATGACCTTAATGGTTTCAGGAGAGGAAAGCAAAGCTTTTGATTTTAGACAACACCCCTCTGTGTGTGTGTGTGTGGGGGGGAAGCCAAGAAAACTAGTCATGGAAGTGAATTATTTACTTGAGAAAGGCTGTCTTAAACCCTGCAGCAAATATGCATCATACAGAGCCATCAGTCATGGACCACCAAGTTTGGTTATGCGGTCCTGGGGGTAGAATCCAGAGCTTTGTGCATGTGAAGCAAGCACTTTACAAACAGAGCTGCATCCCTAGCCCTAAGTGGTTGTGCTGCTCGAAAAAGTATAGAAAAGCTAAAAAAGAAAAAAGAAGAAGAAGCAAACAATACACCAGGGGCTAGAGAGATGGCTCAGTGGGTAAGAGTGTTTTATTACTCCCAAAGACAGCCAGGACTGGTTTCCAGCACCCTCCTTACGGCTCATAACCATCTGTAAATCTAGTTCCAGGGTAACAGTTGCATATAAACTTACACAGGCAGACACACATAAAAAGAAATCTTAAACAAAAAAAATACATTATAGGAACTGGAGAGATTGCTCAGTGGTTAGGAACACTTGCTGCTCAATCACGAGGACCAGAGTTTAGACATCAACACCCACATCGGGCTCACAATTTCCTGTAACTCTAGTTCTGAGAGATCTGACACCCTTTTCTGGCCTCTTTGAGCTTGTGTACACATATGTGCACATGAGCACACGCATGCATGCATATACCACAAATAAATCATCATAAGGAAAATGGGGAAATGTACTGATTTTTAAAAAGAGGATAGGATTCTAGCCCTTGCAGGGGTCGGTTATGGAGAGCAGTGAAAGAGGTTGACCTATGCTGACCTGCTCTTCTGTGGCCATTTGGACTCATATCACCTGGCGAGAATGAAGGCTGTGTCCTGTATGTCTTCATTTTATTATCTTGGTGGTGTTTGCTCAGTAACTAGAGCCTTTCTCAGCTACCCTGCATCCCAAGATAGGGCAGACTGCAGAACGCCAGCTGGTCCTAGTGTTTTGCATCTTCAAATGCCTGGTTGTGGGATGGGGAAATCTTATGGGGATGCAGTCTTTTGAATAAGTCCCACTCTCCAAGACCTATGATTTCCCACAACTCAGCTCCCTATATAACGATATGCACTGCTCCTCCCTCCTCTGGGAGCTCTGGCAGCAGCTTCCTTGATGGAAGACTCCAACCCATAAGTAACTGCCACTTCTCCCTTTAACCTAAAGCAACTCCCTACCGTGTTTGTAATTCAGCCTTTCCTCTGTAGCTAGACTAGCTCTCCAGGTTGGCATTCCATGGCCCAGAGCAACCGTTCTTGAAGTTCTTGGAGATGGGATAATGCCAAGAACCTTTGACTCCTAAGGTGGCAGCCTTAGCTCCACCCCAGATGGTTTCTCACACTGCATCATGTTGTATGTGCTGCTTAGAGTCTCCAGTCTCTGATCTGAGTTAGACCGCAGTTCTGCTTAGCACTGACAGTGTTAATTGTTTTTGGACTTTCTGTCTCCATTCTCCTACTTCTGCTTCCGGGAGTATTCTCAGTGTGGAGATGGTCTTTCTCCATGCTTTGGTGATTAAATTGTTGTTCTTAGACAACTCTATATTGAAACTCCAGTGCCTGCCTATTAGCCTCTGCCAAGGGTGGCTGTTTTTCAGCTGTCCTGTCCTATTCCTAGAGGTGCCAGTTACGGGAGTGCTGCTAGTCCATCTTCTCTGGACATTGCTAAGAACATCATTCATTTTTGACTCACATGTTTCTGGAAGATTCTATTTCTTGCCTGCAACTCACTATTTAGACAAGACTAATAGAGATCCACTTGCTTCTGCCTCCCAAGTTCTGGGATTAAAGGTGTGTACCACCACATCCAGTTTGGCCTATAAATTTTAATGCTGCCTCAAGATTTAGATCTGTTCAGAACTTATCAACCCTTCCCAGAATGTCTTTAAGAGGCACTTGTTAGAAGCTGAGTTGCCCCATATGTATGTTGGATCCTAATCCCAAGCACCTCAGAATGTGGCTGTATTTCATAATAGGATCTTTAAGGAAGTAACAGGGTCACAATCCAAGGATATTAGGTCACAGATTGCATAGAGACAAAGGGACCACTATGCATGGCATCCTTAAGGGAAGAAAAGGGTCATTGGAAGACCCCAGTTATTAAGTTAAAATGAAAATTAATTTCTGTTGTTTAAACCACCTTGTTTATGGCATTTTAAAATTGTACTAGCAAGCTAATAAAGAATACAAGAGATTCTGAAGGTGACAAGGATAGACTTGAAACACTCAAGATAACTTCTAGAAGACCAAGGAAGAGGGGCTTATGCAAGATACTAAAGCATTGGCTGGAGACATGGCTCAGCAGTTAGGAACATTTTCTGCTCTTGCAGAGGACCGTGCTTCAGTTCCCAGCACCCATGTGGCAGCTCACAAACATCTATAACTCCAGTTCCAAGGGATCTATTGCCCTTTCCTGGCCTCTGTGGGCAGCAATGGTGTGTATACATACATGCAGGTAAAACACTCATACACACAAAATAAAAGTAAATAGATCTTAAAGATATTAGGCATCTGCATATGGTTCTAGAAAGAACTCAGTCCAGTCTGGGTAAGGGACAGATAGTCAGTTCAGGAGACCCAGGGTACCATTCACAGACTCCTTGCCCACTGTGTCTCTTCATCTGTATCCCTTGTGATTCTTCTTCTATGCTGTCTGTGTGCGGGTGTTCACAAGTGTGCAGGCACACATGCAAGTGCATGTATGTATGTGGGTGCATGTGGAGGCCAGACAAAAAAACTTCAGGTGATGTTTTTCAGGAGTAATCATTCTGTGTTTTTGAGACAGAGTCTCTCCCTGTCCTGGAGCTTGCCAAATAGGCAGAGCTGGCTGACTAGTGAGCTCCAGGCACATGCCTATCTCTACTTCTCCAGCACTAAGACTGCAAGCAAGTAGTACCATGCTTGGCCTTTTCTTTTATATGTAGGTTTTGGGGACTAAATGTATGTGTTTATGTGTGCAAGGCAAGAGCCTCACCAGCAGCCTTATCAGTCCTGGTGTGGTTCTTTTAACAAGCTGGCACGTGTAAGCAAATGCTCCCCAGAGTTTAGTGATCTCTCTAGCAAATTAGAAGATCCTAAGGAAGGGATTATGCAAAGCCCCATTTACAGCTGTTTTATGAGAAATATAGGTAAACTCCCTGGGCTTGAAGCTGGATTCTGAATTGGGCAGGACCGTCTGAGCATTCAGCTAAGACCTGTGGGAACTGAGCTACGTCCAAGCAGTCAGTGTCAGAGTTGAACTGAATTAGAAGGCCCTACCTTGTATTAGCTGCAGAATTGCTTGACTGGTAAATGAGGACACTACCCTACACATTTGGTACAGGTATGTTCTGTGATGATTGATGATTGTGAAAAAAATGAGTTTTTTTTTTCACCTAGAAAAAGAACAAAATGAGAATTCTAGAACGAACAAAATAAAGCCAAATATCCGGAATATTAGACATAGTTGGAGAGAGACTTGGGAACCTGGAAGATTGGAAGAAAGTGTCTAGAAAAGGGAGTATATAGCTCAGAATATGAGGAGACAGAGGGGCTGTAGGAAGATTTGACACACATGTAGTTTTGGAGCAGACAAAGGGGAGAACTAGGCAGATGCAGTATTTAAGAAAGTTATGTATGCCTGATGTGTTTCAAAAACTGATGACAATGCAAGCCATGAGTTCTGGAAGCATTACACACACCAAAGGCAGCAAATACAAAGGGAAATACACACTCAAGACAGTTACAAACCAAACAAAGCTCAGAGGTTATCTACAAAGCAGAGTTCCCAACAGAGAGCAGTTGGTGTGGCAGAAGCATGGTCCGTGCAGTCCCTGCCTGAGTCACAGAGCCGGCTGCAGATGGTGGTCAGGAGTAGAGAGAGTAGACTCAAAACCGGCACAGAAAGTATGTATCACACAGTTACCTAAAGGAAGGTGATATGGCTGTATTAAATCATAGCAGAGTTCAAGCCTTAGGTGTCGAGGCAGACAGACATGCCAGAGACAGAGGGGTGCTTCCTCATTGTGAAGGGCTACATTTATGAACAAAACAATCCTAAATATGGGTGTATCTTGATGTAACTTCAGAAGTACAAGGTAAAACATTGAGACACAGGCCACAAATGCAACACAAAACATTTACACAGACTTGAAGTGTCTGTTAAATTCTTCCAAAGACACACGTGAAGCTCACCATTCTAGGTGGCTGTCACGAAGGAAAAGGGCAACCACAAAACCAAGAAAGAACTTGGCCAGGCTAACAGTGATAACTGCTGGGAAGGGAAATGCCTGCGTTACTGTTTCTACCCTCATGCCCCACAAAAGAAAGGAAAGAAAGACACATGCATGCCATTTACTCATCAGACCGACCACGCTTTCTGCAAGAAGCCGTAATAAGCCATCCTTGTTTCTGAGAAATGGGAGCATCTGCATGCTCAGTAACGCGGCCTGGATTTGCTGGAACCCTCCCACCTGGCCAGGAGCTGGAGCCTTATTCGAAGAAGGCCAATCTCAGGGTCTCAGAAGTGGGGCATTCAAGGCTGGTCAGGATAATGTTATAAAGTCCAGATCCTGACAGTAGATAGGGAGCTTCCTTTGGGTTCTGTACTGAGATTTTAAGAACAAAGAACTTGCCTGGGCTGCTAAAAAGAACAGCTGAGTTTTCTAGAAGGGCCCAGAGTCTCTAGGCCGTGGTCACCTTTCCTTATTTGTTGCTGGCTAATGGCCGTAGTGTGCCCTTGGACACTCTGAATTGTGGGAAAGGAGGGACTTGTCCACAGTGACGAGGAAGAGCACAGCCTTGACTGGCTGCTGGGCATGTCTGAGAGCAGAGAGGGGGACCCAGGGTTCCAGCAGAACCCAGCAACTGGTGTTCAGGAGAACCTGGGGGTCTGGAGGAGCTTGGTGAGCGCCTCCCTGATGTCACGATTCCTCAGGCAGTAGATTATAGGGTTCAGCAGGGGAGTCACTACCGAGTAGATCACAGACACCAGCTTGTTGAGGTCGAAGGAGCTTATGGCATGAGGCCGGGCGTACATGAAGGTGGTGGTGGTATAGAAGATTGAGACTACCACCAAGTGGGAGGCACACGTGGAGAAAGCCTTCCTGCGGCCTGCTCCTCCTGGAATCCTCAGGACCGTGGCAAGGATGCGAGCATAGGAGACTGAGGTCACCATCAGAGAGGTGGCAAGGACTGCCAGAGCTGCCACAAAGTCCAGCATTTCAATGGCAGTGGTGTCTGAGCAGGACAGTTGCAGCAGGGGTGAGACATCACAGAAGAAGTGGTTGAGGGCATTGGGGCCGCAGAACCTGAGGCGGGAGATGAGAGCCGTGGACACAAAGGAGGCCAGGAAGCCCCCGAGCCAGGCACTGAGAGCCAGATGTAGGCACAGCCTTGAATCCATAATGGCTGGGTAGTGCAGTGGGCGGCAGATGGCCAGGTACCGGTCACAGGCCATGGTAGATAATAAGAAGCATTCGGAGGAGCCCAGTGAAAGAAAGAGGAACAGCTGGGTGAGGCACCCTGAGAAGGAGATGGCTTTTGCCCCTGCCAGGAGACCAGCAAGCAGCTTGGGCACTGTGACTGTGGTGTAGAGGGTTTCCAGCACAGACAGATTGGCCAGGAAGAAGTACATGGGTATGTGTAGCTGCCGGCTAGCGCTGATGGTGCCCACAATGACCAAGTTCTCTAGGACGGTCACCACATAGATGATTAGGAATAACCCAAAGAGCAGCCCTCGTAGGTGGCACAGCTCTGGGAAACCCAGAAGAATGAACTCTGTCACCAAAGTGTTGTTGCAGTTGCTCATGGCCCTTTCTGGCTGCGAGGCCACTTCTGAGCACGATGGAACAGCAGGGATTCACGTGCCCTGTGTGATGGGCCCAGGCCACTGTTCCATTGGTCTAAGGGGTTGGAGACTCTGCAGCCCCTGCTAGGGTCTCAAAGGCAAGGGCTGCCACACTGTCTCAGGACCAAGGGACTTCTCTGTGGGGCCTCCCAGGGCTGAGCAGCCTTGTCTTCAGGGAGAGGTCAGTCAAGCAGAGAGGGCTCTCACTGTGTACTTCCAGGATCTGCTGCGGTACTTACCTGTCATGTCCACTGTGAAGATCACTTTCATATTTACCAAGAGCTAACAGCTGAGCAATGACTTAGGAGCTGTGAACATCAGCATGAGCAGGAACACCCCTCCTACATATTTGTGAGTATGTGCTATCCTCCTTGACCCAACACACAAGTACATGCTTCCCAGGTGCACACACACACACACACACACACACACACACACACACACACACATACACACACACACACTCCCTTCAGGTGTGTGAGTGCATTCACATGCACACTTGTATACACATGCTTATACCATGTTACATGCACACATACAGTTTCAAGAAAGCTTGCTTTGACTTATATGTTGCTCAGGGGTTATAGGCCTGGATTTTGTATGCTGTCTTATCTGAAGACTCAGGTACCTTGGCAGGTTCAGGCTTTTTTCTATGGCTTTGCAGGAAGGCCAGACTGAAAGGCTACACCTCCACTGGTCACAGGACCACCAAATGGAGAGGGGAACAGAGCAAAGGGTTGCAGAGGAGGAGGCTCACCCTGCTTTGTAATGGTGTCTTCTTTCTTTTCTTCTCTCTCTAAGACAGTTTCTGTAGCCAGGCTGACAGCAAACTCAGTATCTTCCTGCAACAGCCTCCGGAGTCCTGGGGCTACAGTGTGTGAGTCCGTCTGACTTCACCTTCACGTTTGATGTCCTACCATGGCCCAGACTCTGCTTAGCCAGAATTCATTTTTTTCCCCCAAGGAGCAAACTTAGTATTGGAGAATGAATGGAAGGTGTCATCACCAATCTTCAAGTGAAAAAAGCAGTTTGGGAATTTCCCGGGGGGACACCTCTGTAGCTACGTGTCTGAGGGCACATGGGTGACCTGGAGCAGAAGCCAGGCAGGGGGCCCCATGCAGTTATACTTCCTGGTTTCCTTGGCCCATCTTGGAAGGGGTGCAGCCCCAGGTCCCTCGATCACATTTAGCACCAGGCTGTTTGTTCCTGGACAGGCAGAGAAGGTTGGTGGAGGAACACAGTTCTGGGCACACTCAACAAGCAGCGCTTGCCACAGCTGGTCCTTACCTCCTGGGCTGGACAGTTGGCTCTTCTGGTGAGGTGAGTTCACTGGCACCATGCAGTGGCCCCTGATGAGTGCCGAAGCTGGTCGTTGGCACTGGAGCCTGGAGTCTGCTGAGGAGGGCTCCACAGCTCAAGGTCTGTGGGAATCCTGGCTGGTGGGAAGAGCTGAACTGGGAAGGAGCCCAAGGGCTGTCTCCAGTCTCTTTTCAGCACTTCGCAAAGAGACTGGGCCAGCCAAATAAGAAGGGGGACTGCTTGCAAGCGGAGGGTGGAAGTCTGTCAGCCTGATCCCACACATGCTGGTGATGGGGTACCTGAGGGCCATCCAAGCCAGGGCAGCCTGGGACAGGGTGGATGCCACCCCTGCTTCTGGGCTGGGGGCTTTCCAGTTCTCAGGTCTGGTATCACGGACTGACTAGGCTTGTGGAAGCAGTTAACGGGGAGGCCCTGGAAGGTCTTGCTTTCCCTGGGCCCTTTGTCTCAGTCTCAGCAAGCCAGGCAGTGTTTCTTACTGCAGGTCCGGGGGAAGAGCTCCTCATCTCACAGGGCCTGTTGCTTTGGGCCTCCCTGATCTTTACGCACTCCTTAGTGGCCTTGCTCTCCCCAGTCCTGGGGACTGTAATTGTTCTCAGGACAATTTGTGGAGTGCTGTGGAGGTTCCTGCAGGCCCAAGGGGAATTGTGCTCAGCTGGGAAGCCTTCCTCCTTCTCTTCAGCACCAGGCTTCCCACAGGGCAGTCTACACCAGAGAAGTCTGAGAATCAAGGCCCTTTCCCATCAGATTTCTCAGTGCCCTTTCATTGTATTCCCAGGACTGCCATCTACCCACTCATTCGTTTTATGAAGTGATAGGAAGAACGCTCAACACAAGAGGAGAAAAGTGTGAAGTGACCCAGGCTGCCACCCCCAGTCCCCTTCCCCTCAGGGAGCTGCTCACTGCTTAGCGTAACTAACCTGCTGACAGCATATGACTCAGCTTGGCTTGAGTGGCAAAGGGTGCTACTCTGCATTGTCTTTCAGTTCTTGCTTTTTGCTACCAAGATTCCTATCCTTCTGGCCCACTCACTTCACTTTACCTTGTGTGCTATCTGAAGTGTGGCTGTGATACACTTGGGTTGTTTCCAGACTGTTACTGTTGGGGACAGCGTTGGGTGACATCCCAGCACACAGATCCTGTTTGCTGTTTGAATGCTGCTCTTGGATACCTGAGTTGAACTTTGTCTGAAATTTTGCAAGAAAATGCCAGAGTCTTTCCCAAAAGTCACCACATTAGTAGTAGTGACCACATTATTAGTAGTGACCACATTAGTAGTAGTGACCATAGTATTAGTGGTGACCGCATTAGTAGTAGTGACCATGTTAGGCCACACATCTACCATTGGTCCTTGCCCAGGTGGCATAGCCAAATTCTGAATCTTTGCCAAGTTAGTGGGTACCAAATATCTCATTGTTTTGGGGCTGGAGAGCTGGCCCGATGGTTGAAAGCACTGTTGCTCCTGCAGAGGACCTAGGTTCGGTCCCCAGCACCCACACAGTGGCTCACAACTGGAACTCCAGTTCCAGGGAATCAAATGCCCATAACTGAGCTCCCTGGGCACCAGACACACATGCTGTGCCTACACATCAGTGAAGAAAATAAACTCCTATATGTAAAATCAAGCAAATAAATCTGAAAAATGTTTTTAAAATGTGTCTCACTGTGGTGATTTGTAAGTTCCCACTTCATGTTTTTTGTTTCTGTGAGATGCCCCTTTTTTATCTTTTGCCCACTGTTTCCAAAGCTGTCTGTCATCTTTTACTCATCGTTTTTTTTAAAGAGTTTTTTCATGTTTTTTAAGTGACTCTTTTTTTAATTAACATTTTTAAAATTGATTCTTTGGGAATTTCACATCATTCACCCCAATCCCACTCATTTCCCAGTCTTTCTATGTCTACCCTCCACCCTTGTAGCCTCCCCATACCCCCAAAGAAAAACAAATAAAAAACAAAAACAATAACAAAACTCTTTATTCCTCCATCTTTCCTGCTTTTCCATCACATTCATTTGTGGTAGTGGCCTTGGGAGCTTCGGTGTGTCACACAGTAGACTCTTTTGCCCAAACAGCTTTACTTGTAAATGTTCATTGCAATGAGTTGTTGGTCTGGTTCAAGGCCTTTGGCTTCTGCTACACCATCAATACTGGACCCTCACCAAAACTTGTCTCGGATATCCTGCTGAGTCATGGAGATCCTGTGGCTATGGCTCTTTAGGACTGGTCCCTTCATGCACTCCAGCAGGTCATAACTGGGGTAGATGTTGGGGTGGACCAACTCAAAGCCTTGGATGTTGGCCTGGGTAGTAACTGAGTTGGTCAGTTTCGGCTTCCACTGGGACCTCTCCCCTCAGGCAAGGGTCAGGGCTAGATCTCCTGTGAGGAGCAGGGCCAGCTCTTCCAGGCCCACACCATCGGGGCCATCTCTCCACCACTCATGGTGAGAAATGAGGTCAGCTTCTCAGCATGAAGGGCCAGTTATCCCAGTGCGGGGGCGGAGGGGCAGTTTTCCCATGGATGCAGAACCAGCTCCCTGGTGCTCAAACCTCCCAGAGGCAGCTCTTCCATGGCCCCCATGGTAATATAGGCCAGGGATATCAATACAGACCTGGCTACAGTAGGACCACAGACTCAGACATGGCCCTGGGCCACAGCTCTGGTCTGGACATTACCATGGCCCCGGTTGGCTGCACAGGTCATGCAGTTCAGTATGGCCCCAGCAGCAGCATGTCCCTCAGACGTCAGGCAGTGGCCCAGTCCATTGGCATCTGTATGGCCCTCAGTGGTAACACGGTCCATGAACATCAACGTAGATTTTGGCTGCAGTAGTGCCATGGACCCAGACATGGCCCTCAGCGGCAGCAGCACAATCCTGGATGTCACACGGTCCCAGGTGGCAGCATAGGCCACCCTTATCAACCTGTTCCTCACTGCATATGCATCTTCAGTTCCGCATCTCTTCACAGTGCACGAAGCACTCCAATTCTCCTTCTCTTCGTTTCTCCACCACATACCTGTTCATCATAGTAGTGCCTGCCTGGCTTGTGGCTGGCTTCCGCCTGCCCAGGCTGTGTGGCGCCAGATGGGCCTATGTGTCCAATGTCACTCTTTAAGATTGTATTAGTCTACTTGTTTTTTTTTTTGTCTCTGTGACCAAATATCTGAGAAAACAGAACTTGAGGGAAGGGTCTCTTCTGGCTCAGTTCAGAGGAATGTAGTCTATTATGGAAGGGAGTCGTGATAGCAAGAATAGCTTGGACCATGGCATGGGCAAGGAAGCTCAACCATTTGATTCAGTATGTAACCAGAGCCCATGGGATAGTACCACCTACATCCAGGATAGGTCTTCCTTTATTAGTTAAATCTCCTTGGAAAGACCTACAAAAACACACTTGGAGGTATGTCTTCTAGGTTAAGTTGACTACTTTAGTCAAGGTTTTATAGAAGAATAGAACCAAGCCTGAATATATATATGCATAAAATATATTTATATATCAGAATTAAATAAGTCATCCTCAAAATAGTAACAATAGCCAAATCATATCTGAAAGCTAAGAACCCAGTAATTTCTCAGTCCTTGAGGTGGGATGCTTCAACAGTCAAAGTAGTTCCACAATAACTGTATCTCTCTCTCTCTCTCTCTCTCTCTCTCTCTCTCTCTCTCTCTCTCTCTCTGTGTGTGTGTGTGTGTGTGTGTGTGTGTGTGTGTGTGTGTGTGTAAACTGGTAGTTAGGCTACAAGGCAGGGTGCCTTAGTAGTCCCAATTTGGTTCTGGAAGCTCAAAAGGTTCCGGGAGAGCTGCTGGTTCCTACGTCATGATGACAGCTTGGACACACTGGTGTTGCTGTCAGTGAAGGAACCAATAGTAGCAGCAACAGAAAAAACCAACTTGTGGCAAGAGGGAAGATCAAGCAAGTGAATGGCAAGATGATCTTCTTCTGCCCCACCTTCTTATCGGGACTGCTGCCAGAACGTGGTGCCCAAAATAGGAGCTGGCCTTCCTACGTCAATCAAGGCTATCAGGACAGTTCTTGAGTGACTCTCTCTACTTAGGTGATTCTAATTTGTGACAAGCTGACATTTAAAACAGCCATAATATTGACATTGAAGATTAATATTGCCTTGGAATTGAGTATTGACAAATTTGTATATGGTGGAACTCACACACAACTTCCTTCACTACAGAGGTGTCCTGCACGCCCTTTCTCAGTTAGACCTTGATCAGTTACTACTAGGTAACTACTTCTGCCTAGTGGTTCAGTTCTGTTAACTCTGGCAGCTGATGAGAACAGAACTATCCAGGGTCTTCTTTCTCTGGCTTCTGCTCATCATACTTTATTTTATTTTATTTGTGGGTGTTTACATCCATAGAGTGAGACTTAGCAAGAGATTGAGACCATGAGAGCAGAACTGAGGCCAAAAGGCAAAGCTTTATTTAGGGTACAAACTATCAGGCTGTCTCCAAGAGAAGGGAGACCAGCCTGCCCAAAGGGTGGGGGCAGGTGCCATCATATATATATGTATATATATACACATATATATATATACATATATGTATGTATATATGATGGCACTTAATGAAGAGACTCATTGATGTTCAGAGAACAAGAGACTGGGACATCTATAACACACTCCAAGTCTCAGTGATTATGTAGGAAGAGGAGTCAGAAAACATTGTAAGATCTAGAGGGAGCTGACGTCTGTAGGGGGACAGTGTTTGCTAGCCATGACAATGCAGTTGCATGCATGAACTCACAGTGCCTGGGACTGTATGGGCAAGACCTTCACAAGATCAGGCCAGCCAAAAATATAGCATGGTTGGGGAAGGGGCTGTTGGTAGCAGCTTCTTCCCAGATTGAAACATTCCATCCTGCAATCAAGCTCATTAAGACAGGAAATGAACAACTCAAAGTAGCTTCAGGAAGTCCCTGAAACTGATCAGATTTACTAGGTCCCTCCCTCCCCAAGGGTATATAAAAAGAAAACATTGCCGTGAGAGATTCAGAAAAACCAAATTGCAAAGAAGACTTAGACAAGCCAGACAGCCTAGAAGTCTAGACCAGCAGAGTAACCCAAAAGCATCAGAGACCAGCTGAATTGCCTAGAAGAAAGAAAAACCAGCCAGTCTATCTGGAAGAGGTTCAGACTAACTGTGCTACCTGGAAAGGACATTCTCCAGCCTGTTGAGCTGCTTGCAGGCTGTACAGTGTGCCACATGTTTCCAGCTTTTGTGAGCTGCCACTCATGCTGGAATGGGCTTTGGTGATGAAGCTGTCTTTGAGTAATTTCTGTTCCTGTAAGTAACCACTCCCCCATATACCTGTAAGTAATCCCAATGAAATCCATGGGTTCATCAAGTTGGACTTTGGTCTGTTATGGGCTCCCTTTCTCAAGTAAATAGACATATGTGTTGCATCTCCCCAGGAAAAGTCAGTCACACAAGATCTGCATGAAATCCCAGCATAGATGGGGAGGGCCTCATGAAGTTTCATCCTATCTCAGGAACTACTGGCAGTTGATTGCTGTTGGGGGAAGGAGAGTCAATTTTCTTCAGTGATGCAGGGTCTGAGGGACTACTAATGCTATAGTGATTGTCCTACACCCATGTACACATAGATAGCATTGAATAGATCCAGTGGGTATTAAAAAAGCCCATAAAGTTGAGAGGAAAAGTGGTGGGGGATAGGAGAGGAAGCAGAGGGGAGGGAATGTGGAGTGGATTTCATTCTCACTGGCAAAGATCACAAAGACTGAATGTGAAAGGATGGGAAATTATATGCAATGCAATCATGAGCCCAGAATAAGCAGAAGCAGCTGTACTCAAGTCTGCAAAAATAGAACCCAGGGAAAACCTAGCCAGAAGAGAGAAAGAACATTACTACATACTAATAATGGAGAAATCCTTCACAAAGATGAAGACAAATATTGTTCCTGGAACATTGGGATACCCAATGTTCATAAAGTTTCATAAAGTGAATATTATTAGACCTAAAGGGACAAATAATCCAAGATACAACAATCATAGGTGGCTTCAATACACTAATGTCATCAGGAGATAGATCTCTTGGGCAGAAAAGTCAATAAAGAAACCACATAATTGAACCATACCACAGACCAAAAGGCTGTAATAGGCATCTAGAGAATATGCCTCCCAACAGCTGTGAATATTCATTCTTCTTAGTAGCCCACTGGTCATGAATTCTTTTAGTTTGTGCCTTCATTAGAAAGTCTTTATGCCTGCATTTATTAAAAAAGATTACTTGGGGGCCGGGCGGTGGTGGCGCACGCCTTTAATCCCAGCACTCGGGAGGCAGAGGCAGGCGGATCTTTGTGAGTTCGAGGCCAGCCTGGGCTACCAAGTGAGTTCCAGGAAAGGCGCAAAGCTACACAGAGAAACCCTGTCTCGAAAAACAAAACAAACAAAAAACAAAAACCAAAAAAAAACAAAAAAAACAAACAAACAAAAAAAAAGATTACTTGGCTGGATAGCATAATTTGTATTAGCAGACACTCACACTCAGGACTTGAGCTATAT